TGATTCAAAAGTAGGTAATTTATGTATTTTTTAAAAACCATGTTTTTTTTATTCAAAAAAATACTTCGCAAAACTCTGTCTGTCAGGAGGTTATGTTTTAAAATTTCCCAGGTATGCTTCTAAATATTGTTAACTTGGCTATTTTCCACTATGTTGCCATATGTATTTTTTTATTAGGATTTGTTTCTAAATATTGACAAGCAAAATTATAAACAAATGTCTGATGTGGGGTTAAATGGGACATGTCCCATTTTACCCCATGGAAATTAAAACAAATTCCTACGGTTTAAGAATGTGTCCCATTTTAAGTTATAAAAATAAGTTGGTTTATTATGTTTTCAGCAATGCTATAGGCGATAAGTTTAATGTTTATTTAAAACAATTATGCGTGAAAATATTGTTAGTTACCGGTTATATATCATTTACAAAGAATAAATGTTCACTTTTTTACCTAAAACTTTGGTTTTCTTCTTTTTTCTTAAAGTTTTATACAGCTAAAACTTTTTTATTTTGTTTCTTGTCCCATGTTGCTTTAGGAAGCTCCTAACTAAAGAATTAACGAAAATTTCAAGATATCCCAATTTACCCCAACTTCCCTGGTAACTTGGGACAGTTACTAATTAATTTTTTTTTGGGTTTGTATATTTTTTTTACTATTAATTATGTTTATTTTTATTGGAAAATAACCGGACTCAATATTTGAGCATGATTTAGAAATGATTTTCCTAAATTTATCAAAGTTATCCAAGCTTGAATGTCAAAATTGTCCCAAGTAACCCCGTTTGACGGTAAATCGCGTGCATTCCATCGAGGTCTGCGGGTGACGTCAATAATATAAGCTGCTGATAGTGACGTCACTCGGAGGCTCAAAATTTGATGGGGAGGTAGTTACGGGAGCATGACACAATTGTCAATTGTCACCTCACATAACCCAGCATAATCAGATTATGCTTGATTATCCCCGCGAAAATGCCTAATAGATCTGTTACAGCAGAAATCACAAACCAGTCAGAGCGTATTTCATTGGTTGAAACTAGTTTTCTGACTGTTTCTGACTGTTTTCAACCAATGAAATTCGCTCCTGACTGGTTTGTGATTTCTGCAGAAACATATCTATTTTCTATCAGCAGACATTAGACAATGCGACGTTGCCAAGCTGACTGTTGGAATTTCTTGAAACTGAAATGACATCAGAACATAGATCCTTTCTCAACACTTCAGCATCACAAAAACTGTTACTGTACAAATGAACGTAGGTACTAACAATTAAAAAATTACATTAATTTTAGTCCAAAAAATTCAACAAAAAACATTTTTTCAAAAAGGATAAAAACCAGTTTTCTAAGACAATCTTGAAAATCATCAAAAGCAACGACAATCTGAAAACGCACTAATTTGCAGTATATTAGGTGAGTTCGGCTTGTTAACTCTTTTGACACCTTTGATATTTTTCACTGCCAAATCGTTCGAGTCAGGCCACTGGGAGCAAATTAGTGCAAGCTCCTCATCGTTCGGGTACAGCCAAGTAGAGTGAAAAGCGTTAACTCCACAAGCATCACCTCGAAAGATTAAGCTCGAGGGGCGGGCATGCGCATTCTTATATTTCCAAAATGTGGTAAAATATAAGTTTCCGATAATTCACTATCCTATATCCTAACGATTCTAACCTAAAGAAGATATTTTTTGCTTAGGGTTTGGTTACCACCTGGGGCTCCTGACGGCGGGTTTTCTGCGGCGTTTGAAATGATTCATATTTTCTATTAAAAATTAACAGCAACTCGAATGTTCCCCATGATAGTGTTAATATGCTTAGTTTGTGTTCTAGAATTAGAAAAAAAAAAATATCACTAAATCTCTCGAATGTTTCGTGGTTCCCGCCAAGCTCTTATCTGCCACTTACCGTGCGTTCGGTATTTTAATCTGAGTTGTCCGAGCTTGAATTTACCGGTAGTTTATTTAAAAAGTGTACTCGGTGCAGGCCATTCGCGTTTGTTTATTTAAAGTTCAGGCACTCGGATACAGCGTTCAACTGCTCTGTTCGCTCGATGGTCGCATGATTACGGCTCCGCTCAGCACGTTCTGCTCTTTGAGCAAAATACCGAACGCAAGGTATGTGTTCGGGGAGAGCGGGCAACAACAAAAATCATCAAACAACAACAAAAATAGCTCGAGGAAAATCAATCCGCTTGTGGCTTAATTCAGCGTAAGCACTGTGGTGGACTAGAAAAAGCAGTGTGGTTAAATTTAAATAGGGTTTGGCACTAGCATTCATGTAAATCGAATAATCACCTCATCCGCAAAGCTGGGCAGAAAACCGTTAATTCGTTATCCGTTAATTAACGAAGGTAAAAAATTGCTTAATTTAACTTTTAAGTTAACCTAAAAAAATATTAACAGTTTTCTTAACTTCCGTTACATTGGACTTCCGTTAAATGTAGTCCGTTACGTTCGTAAATGACGTCATTTTGTTTGCTTGAATTGCGCGTCAAGGTCAATCGGAACAGTTCGCACAGGCATAGAAAGATTTCAGTTCGCTACACAATGCAGTTTGGAACTCTTCTGGAATGACTCCAAACCCGAGTCCGTACAGTGAGATCGATGCGCAAGCCCTTATTGTTATCGATTAACGATTATCGAAATTAACTTTTCAAGTAGGGAATTAATGATTATCGAAGTTAACTTTTCTATTAACTGTGCCCACCTTTGCTCATCCGTGGCATTGCGACATTTTGGTGAATTTGACCACATGTGGAATACGCTGTCGTGTCCATGTAGGTTATTATAGGTACCGCAAAATGGCGCTGAAGTTATCAACTGCCCAATGTCGATCATACCTGCTTGAAAATTGCATTTCATAGCGATAACGATCAAGAATCGACAACTAACATCTTTATAAGGCGTATGTTCGCCAAATCTTGAGTCGAGCCTGCAAATGACGTCACCCCTATCAGCAGCTTATATTGGTCACCAACAGTCCTCGATGTGATTCTTGCGATTTCGACTAATCAAACTGTGCTTGTCAGTTTATTTTTTCGTCGATTTTGTATGTAGGGAAGATGATTTCAACAAGATAATAACGTTTAGGAATTTGTTTTTTTTGACCTAGTGTTTTAAACTTAAACTCGGCAGGCTAGGTTAGAGTGAGAGATATAGGAGATCCAATAGATTTTTTGCCCTTACTAGCGCTATCTCGTCCTGGAATCAATTGAATGACGCAAAGTCCATTCCAAACCTTCTTTCTACTTCATTGTAGAATATACTTGCATTCCTTTCAAGAGTTTGAAACACTCGAGCTGCTCGCTCCGGTGTTCAGGCGCCCTCGATTTGCAGGGAACAGATGCGTGGTGCAACAAAAACTTTTCGAAAGGAATAAGCGCGTAAAGCCCCGGAGCTGATCCGGAGCTCCTCCTAGGTGTGAAAGGAATACAAATTATACTATTTCAAACCGGTTTTCAACCAGGGGCCTTATTCTTGACTTTCTCTCGAGAGAAAATTTGACTGTGTTGACAATTAAACAGTGCATTAACTGTTAACAATGTCAAATTTTCTACCTATGTAAAGTCAAGAATAAAGCCTCAGAGCCGCTTTCCAGTATGGGGGTGTGACGCCCGGAGCTACTCGGGGCGTTGAGCTCCCGAGCTGTACGTACGCGTCAACCTGTCAGCTGTCACATCCGTGGGTGGCTATTTATCTATTTATTTCTTGTTATATCGCAAGATTGAACATTTTAAAAAATATAGTTTTGATTCTCTTTCATTTTTCATAATTAAAAAAACAAACTGCACAAACAAAAAGATAATTATTTTTAAAATTTGACATATTTGACACTAAGATAGGCGTCTCACGCCATGATACTGGAACGGTACAAATTTAGTGCGTGGCGCCCCTGAGGTGCTCTAGAGCACGCCAATGTGCATACTGGAAAGCGGCTCTGGATGGCTCAAATAGCGTGCTCCCCGAACACACCCTATTAATTTACGGCGTATATCACATTTGTTTGTTTTGTCAATTCTGGAGATCACTCGGAACACATTTTACTGCTCCGAACATGGAAGCTCGTGAAAGCGAGCAGACATATCGACGGTAATCGGTATTTATTTATGCTCGTACTTTATTATTATTTATGCAATAATGTATTCCATATTATTGGGAAAAAATGTAAAACGTGGAAATTAGTGCAAACTATAAATAAATTATGCTCTTGGAGTAATTCCCGAACGCGATCGGACACCGAGCATCTACGTTGACATCACTCGATAGGTACACACAAGTTCGATTAGCCGTGTGTGGCTAAATTCAGCTGGCAACTGGTGTAGGCACCGTGGTGGAATGGTAGAAAAAGCACGGTTATTAAATAAATTACACAGGATTTGACAAGCTGTGGTTTGGCATTAGTGAATTGGCATTTTAGTGAATTTAGCCACACGTGGGAAGTAACTAGGCCCTTTTCGCTAGTAGTGAAAGCAGCCAATCGTTTGAGAATAATGAGAATGCAGCTTCCGTGATTTCGATAACTGGGATCAAGATAATTATGCTTCTTAGGGCAGATCGGGGCAGATTTAGCAGTTTCCTAAATGAAAAATGAAATCCTATTCATTTTTATTGACAATTTTGACACTTAACATTTATAAACATCACTTGCTGTCGCTGTCATGATAGGTTTTTTCATCGTGCTGCGGTTTCACGACTTCGCATACCATGGTTGGTTACATGGCGCTATCATACCGGTTGTTAAAGTTGCGATTTTAGTTGACCACAAAAAAATTTTATCGTTACAGAATCACGTAGGCTACGTTTTTGTTGTTGTTTTTGGGGGTGTATCTTACTTTCCATGACTTTAAAGTGTTTTGAAAACGCCAAATGCTCAAAATTTTATTCAACAAAAAAATCATTGTTTAGAAGAAAATACATAAAAATTTAACCTTGACTTGATTCCGTATTGTTAGCACGGTTGGCGTTCTCAGAAACGACATACCGAAGGCGGTATGGTGGTAAACCAGATCATGATGAAAGCACCTATTCAGTTTACACAATAACATAAAATTCACAAAGTTCTAGTTCAGAAAATCAAAATTATTTTTCTCCTTTATGGTGTTTAGAAGGAATTTATTTTATTTTTCAGTATTAAGCTTTTTCTTACAAGAAATATAATGGAGTATACGATAGAAAATTTGGAACAAGCCGTAGCTGTATTTTATAGGGCTGAAACCACTCAACAGGCAGAGGCTCATCATTGGTTAACGAAGGCCCAGCATTCATCCCAAGCTTGGTCTTTTGTATGGGAACTTCTCGATCCGCAGCGGGTAAATAAAACTCCAGAAATATAGAAACAATAACGATATACAGTCCATACGTTTTTTACTAGAACACTCTTTATTATTTTTTCAGAGTTTTCAAGTTCAATTCTTTGCTGCCACAACACTACACACCAAATTAATGAAATATTGGGATGAAGTGCCTGAGAATCACTATGAATATCTTAAGAAAAACATACTAGAAGCTATCATCAGTTATGCTATGGGTCCTAAAATAGTTTTAAATCGTCTTTGCATTGCAGTAAGTGTATTATAGTCTATTGATAGAGTGAAAATTACAAGTTCCCAATATTTTCTTAACTACCCAAGGAATAACCACTTTTTGCAATGTGAATATATGTAAATTTAATTAAACAACCTTGGACAGTGCCAGGAAATCATGGGATTTCTGTGAAACCTAATTTCCCATATTTTTATCTTAACCTGAGACTAAATTTTAAATGCTACAAAAAAATTGAAACACAAAAGAACAAAACACTAGGCACTAACAAAGGCAAAAATAGTTATGAGTAATCGAGTGAGCAATATTCTCAAAATAAAGTTAACGGATAACTGGGCAAAGTCACAATGGTATTGGTGTTGATAAGAAACCTTGTGTTTTTTGGAAAATAAATATTATATTATGTTTGAATTCTAGAGGCAAACTAACTATAGAGCATATTCAGAATTGACAAAAAATAATGCAAAACATTGAATAATATTTCTAATAACATTAGGAAACATCAGATTTAAAACTGGATTAAAAAAGCCTCTAGATGTCTACTAAATATTGTTCCAAATGGGGCAAAATATTTTTCTACAATAGGTACCAATGGGACTGAAGTCCTGCTGCCCTTAGTAATATAGGTACTATTTTTTGCTCCTATATGCTTAGATGATAGTGTCTTGAAAATAAACAGGAAATATGCAGGAAAAAATCGTAGCAGCAATGATAAGACTATTCAATTATAATTATATAGCTCCTGCAAATTTTCAAAGGTTGTTCTGCTCGGGAATGGATACGGTGGATCGAGGGCCGAGGCGTTGTTGCTTGTTTATTTTTAAGCAAAATGTTTAGAGAATGTTTGTGTAGTGTTTTGGAGTAAACCTCTTAGATGGATCAGTTAGAGAGAATCTGAGGTAAGGTGGATGTGAATGAGGTTGTACAGAAGGTGGTTGGGTAGACTATGTAGCGGGTTCAATGGGTGGCAAACCTTGATAATGACTCAGGGATGGAGCTTCTGCAACTCTGTTCTCTTTTAATGTCAGATTTCTTGAGTGATGAAACAACAGGGTGATAGGTATATTGATAATAATTCGGTATTTATACTTTTAAGCCTTGAGTTACACACAAGGTCACACATTTTGTATGGTTAGCGTCAGGGTTAGCTTTGTTATATTGAATAATTAATTTAGATTAAATTCTGCAAAAATGTTGTTTGGAGGTTGAGTAAAATCAAGGGTAAAATGTATGTAAATTTCATGTCAAACTTCATATTAGAAATAAATACTTAAATATTTACGAGAATATTTATATTTGGTATGTGGCACAGGTTTAGACCTAAAACAGCTGAAGCCGAGGATGAAGCAGCTTTCCTCTGCGCTTTCTAAGTGGCACTGCTGTTGTAGCTCTAGATTTCATTAATGACAGTATGGAGAATTTGGACTTTAAAGATTTTTTGAAATTGTGATACATGGATCTTTAATAATAATTGATAACAATTAATTCTCAAAATGTCTTGTACCAAAATTGAACATTTTTTTGTTTCTTTATGAGTTTGTTATGCTGTGTAGGTATGATACAATCTGTTATTCCCCTCTCATACTTTATTATGGGCATATCCAATACTTAATTCCACCTATGCTTTTTGCCTAAAAGAAATCTACTTCACTTTCTTTGGCAAAAGCATTAGGTACTTCTAGACAAAAGCGAGATTATGATTTTTCAAATATTAATGTCGCTCTGGGTAGAACATAAGTCTGTTTCTGCAGAAATCACAAACCAGTCCCAGCAAATTTCATTGGTTGAAAACAGAAACAGTCAGAAAACTAGTTTCAACCAATGAAATTCACTCTGACTGGTTTGTGATTTCTGCAGAAACAAACCTATTATTGTTGATGTCACTGAATTGGTTGACAGCTGGTTTTTGAAAATTTTGGTGGCTATTATCATCAAGTGCTTCAGTTTTACATCAGATCGAAATTTTCAATCATTTATTTATTTATTGATATTACTTACAAACACCAGTAGGTACTTACGACTTATATGTAAGAGAAAGCGGGCTTAAAAGACTAATAGTAATACTAAAGCACCAGTAATTTTTTTTGGTTCGTAGATTTTCCACGAAGTAAATCTATATTACTCTTATCCAGAAACTCATTGTACATTGCCATCATGCCATGTATAGGAAAAGGCTCGGGAAAAGGATCATTTTTATGTACATAAAAGAATCTACTAATAATGATGCATATATCAATCTTAAGACCATTAAAGGTATATAATTTATTAAATATCAATCACCATACTTTATATATCGATAATGTTTTGAATAAATATCACAGATTGGAGTTCTCTTCTTTTCTCTAAGGTAAATAAATTGAAGTTCAGTTGCATAGATATATGAGGTATTTTCAAATGTCCCAGTATTATTGTGCTCTCTGACATAAGTAGAGGTACCTTAGGAATCTTTTTTGTAGACAGAACCTGAAGGGCTCAGATAACCTTGGCATATTCAAGATTTGGTCTGACAAGTGAATTATATGACAATAATTTTCAATGTTTTTGAATTTTTATTAAAAATCCCAGTTCTCTATATGCTTATTGACAATTTGATCTTAGTGGGTTTTGATATTGAATTTGGAATTAATATAATTTATTCATCAAGTAATTCTGTTTTTTGCACATAGAGCACTGAATGCGCACAATTTTTGTAGAACTAGAAATAGATATAAAAGAAACTGGTAGGCAATGTAGGTATAGAAAAAAACAGATACCTACGCTATAATCCCATGGGAAACCATCAACATTCTGCTCATAATGCCCACTCAAAATAGTTACCCAAACTTTTCCCCACTATAAAAGCTCTACATTGTTTGGCGAATTGTTTTATGGTCGATTTTATGTAAGAAATCTCCTTTATCTTATTAGGTAGGATATTGTAAATCTTAGGAGCAAGATAGGTAATGAACCCATGACCACTGCCGGTTCCACTCCTTCAAATCATGATTGGTGATTAGTTTCCGAATTCAGAACCACAGCCATGGTTTTATGCGGATCATAGTCTAAGTCTTTAGGATTGAATCAGCAACTAAATGTTTGCTCGGGTGAGGAATATATCTGTGAAAAATTAGGATAACTCTTGGAAAGCAAATGTATATGTGTCAGTTTGGAATGTAGGTAATGGGTAAGTAGACTCCCAATAGATTTAATGCAAATGCCAGCACCTATTTATTTCGATGTTAAGAGCTAAAGTGGATTCTCTTTATGTCACACCGTAAAAAGAAATTTACACTATACAGAGTATTGAAATGTTGACATTTTTGCTGTACACTGCCCAATAATAATTATTATAACACACTGCCTTTAACACAGTGTCCATACTGTTTAGTATAATCTTGGTATTGCAGTACCTATAACTTACCTGTATTATTGTAAATTGCTTTTGTACTAAATAGCAGGTTCAAATTTTAATGTTGCTACAGAAAACGATGTACCAAAAATGAACGCTTTTTGAAGTATTATGGAAATGGGCGAAAATTCTAGTATATCAAAAACAATTAAATTTATGCAGATAATAATTAAGTGCTTAGAAAATCGAAAAATGCGAACACATACAGGGCATTTTTGGATTTTTTTTCTCAGGTCATTTTCAGAAGATTATTCGGTATTGCCAAAAATCTACATTTTTTGTATTCAATATTTTTTGTAGCGCCTCTCTTATCGAGCCCGCAGGTGATGTCATATACTTACTGGAAGACCCTGTATACTTTTTTTTAATTATTTTTTTCTATTACATATTGGTGATCAATTTTAGTTGTCGGCCTACATTATTCATACTATACCAAACCACTGGCCTAATGCTTTTGAGGAACTGGTTTCGAGCTTCCAACCGCATAACTTACCTGCTATAGAATCAGAAAGAGTTATATGGATTTTGTTGGAAATATTAACTGTGATCCCACAGGAGGTACTCAGCATTGTTAAGTTATTAAAATTGTTATGCTAAAAAATTATAATTTCAGTTTGACAGCACTGTCTTGTCAACATCCCAAAAAACTAGAGTAAAAACCGTACTTTTAGAAGTATCCAAAGATATAATGAAGGTTGTTGAAATGTGTTTAATGCCTATACCAGCAAAAGGGTAAGTTATTCAGATTTGTTGACAGAGTTTAGAAATTTGATGCTCATCAATGGGGTTATTATGGCAAAGTTTCGACGTCTATCAAGTTCGCAATACGTCATGCATGCCGGAAAAAGGTGTTAAGTAATTAATATATCGCTTTTTTCTCGTAAATTTTTCGTGCAAAAAAAAAAAAATATCGCGTTTTTTTTGTCTTAAATGCCCTGGTAGTGCTAGCAAAAAAACGCGATACATTTTTTTGAAATTATCAATTTTTCTTAGATTTCGACTTCATATCTCGGAATAATTAAGTGTGTGGAGTTTGAGGGATCCCAAAGGATCATTAGAACACAAAATCTCAACATAAAAAAATTTGAAATTTCATCATTTTAGTACTAAGGTACCTACATACCTTATGATTTGGATGTTTTATTAAAAACTTCAAAAAATCATAACTTTTTTTCTATCATAGATAGAAAGCTGAAATTTTGAGCGATTCTTATCCCAGTAAAGGACTACAATCCCTGAAAATTTAAGCTCATTTGGACTTATAGTTTCAGAAATAAAATCGTGTCGCAATTTAGGGTGAATTTATCAATTTTCAATTTTTCTGACTGCCTTTTCTCATAGATTTCAGCTTCAAATCTCAGAATACTTTAGTGTATGGAGTTTGGGGGGTCCCGAATGATCATTTAGACACAAATCTCAACATAAACAAATTTAAAATTTCATCATTTTAGTACATATCTACATAGTAATACCAGTACATAATATCTGATGCATATTATAAGTACAGTTGGTACCTACATAAAAAAATTATGATAATTGTTTTGGCAATTTTTGCCGCTTGAATAATGATCATTCTCAAATCTCAAAATCAGAATTATTCCAGGTTTTTCAACACATTTTCGAAATAATCAATCTGAAATTGACGTTTGTGCATTTCAGCAAGGATTTATTTTTCTCAATATTATACCTAATAATAATTGATGAATCATCACTATGAAGTAATAAAAAAAAGGGACCAGGGTAATGTAAACAAGCTTGTTTCTTTCTTTTCTTATCTATTTTAATATTTGTCATTCGGAATTCGACAGTAGATTATTTAACACGGAGGAATAAGCTATTAAACAAATAATAATTATATAAGCATTTCGAGTTTAGTGAGCATTCTTGACCAAATTTTCTAATAATTGATGAGTGTAAAAATTATTAAATTTCGTAAGTACCAACAACTATTTATAGTCTTCTGATCCTGCCCTTCAGTCACGCCACAGGTCCTGGAAAAGTCCCTTTATGCACTTATAAACTTTCCAAAGGAATTTACCTTCTGTTTTTTTAGAGGTGATAGGTACAGAACTTTAGAAAGCTGCTTCTAGTTGAGCAAGTTTGGTATTGGGCTTTGAGCATTTGGCTGTAAATGTTTTCAATAACTTCCCCTTTAAATGATTACCATTTTTTACCAATTGAAGTTGCGTTTCACTGACATCCAGGACAACAATTCGTGGTTTGATTATTTCTTTTTGGTAATTGGTGTCCCCTGGGGAGGCCGTCCACCATAATAGGTTAGGATCCCATTTGTTGCACGATTATACTATTTAAGGTAAGTGTAGCAGTGGGGCACTACCGAATGCCAGCGAGAAATGGTTAAATTATAATTTGCTGTTGGATGTCACCTGCACAATGTGATTCCAAGTGGATTACGTAAGCCTAGTGAGTCATATTAAAAAAGCCGAATGCTAAAGAACTTTTCCAGGCAAACCTTAGGATTTAGATTTCTGAAAACTATGAAAGGTCATAATTTTTTTTCTTTTATAGATATAGAAATTTTCCGCGATTCTTATCCTAATAGTGGCGTTTTTTTTTTGCACGACAAAGACGCGACAAATGATTCACTCAGTAAAACATCTGTAGGAATATCTGGTGACGTTGCTAGTGCTAACTTGATATCAAGCTAGCATTACCAGAGGGTATTTAGGGAAAAAAACGCGACAATTTTTTTTTTGCACGACAAAAAAGCAACAAATTATTCACTTAATAAAACTTCTGTAGGAATATCGGGTGACGTTGGTAGGGCTCACTTGATATCAAGCTAGCACTACCAGAGTATATAATTTTTTTTTTTTTTTGCACGGCAAATTTACTAGAAAAAAGCAACATATTAATCACTTAACGCCATTTTCCGGCGTGCATGTGGTATTTCTAACTTGATAGAGGCAAAGTTTCGTGCTATATGTATATGGAAAAATTGACTGAGTATTTTTTTAACAGTTACATTTTAAAAGTTATTCTGGACTACAAATAGAAATAGCTTGCACTAAGTATATTCTAACTTAAACTAACCAAAATTCTTTCTGGACTCAAAGCTTTTCTAAGTAAACTTGAAAATGTTACTGACTACGTTTATTTCACGCGTTGTATTGTAACCAGATACTAAGTGGATTAGGTTTGTGTCTAACTTCATTAAAGGCAACAATGATGAAAAATGTTTTTAATTAACAATCAATTTTCTGACACCGGTTGTTCATCAAAAAATATTCAAATGAAACTAAATAACATCAATCTTCGAAAAAATCACAAATTTAATGACAAATGTGATTTTTTCTTGAAGTTAGCAACAAACTTCTTAAATCCGAGATTGAGGTGTTTATTTCACATTTGAGATAATCCATTTCAAGTCCAATCCTACAAATTTGGAGGATTGGATTAAGTACTCTGATCCGGATTATTTCTCTAATCCTGTGTGTTTATTGCAGGATTATTAATCCCCATTATTAATCCAATCCACTTAGTATCCGGATACAACGCATGAAATAAACGTTGTCACTATGACTGACTTAAATAGTAATTTAGGTTAAGAAAAAAGTTGGGCTTTTTGTAGAGCTCAAAAAAGTGTATTATGAACATTCGAGACGTTTGGGAAATCAAATACTGTCTAGTAACTTTATGAAAAAAAAAAAATTCAACTTAACCATTTTTTGGAGGTTAACTTCAGAATTGCAAAACTGTGCTCTAGTTCAAATTTTGCCATAATTCTTAACCGTATTTAATAAGATTCCATATGGTGAGCATTCATCTTACACATGACAAAAATATTTAAGACAAACTTTTTTTAGATTTGATATGTCAAATCTAACAACTTACATAACAGCAGCAAGATGTGGATCAGCATGGATACATTTGGGTGGAATGACTATTGTAGAATGTGATTCCGTTTGTAATTTATTAATTGATCTTATTTGTTATGTTTATTGGTAAGAAAAGTAGGTCAAATTTTGCACAAACAATAATTTATTATAAATTGTTAAGGAATAAAACGGATCCTGAAGGTCCCTCTGCTGAGGAAACAGAATTATCTGAAGTAATTGTAGAAGCTTTAACAATTATTATCCAAGACCCAGTCACTACAAAATATAAATATTATGTTACTAAATTTGCAGCAAATATTTTATATAAATTCGAAAAGATTTTAGAAGCTGAAAGGGCCTCTAGCGAATTAAATAAGGATGTGATAGCTAATTTATATGGCTTGATGGTAACATTAGTTGACAGTCATACAAATATTTTGATTGACAATTTCAAGTCAACAAATGCTGATGAGCAAAGAATTAGTTGTGATCTTCTAAATTCATTATTGAAATGTACAAATTTGCCAGGATCATATCCCACAGATGAGTCTAGTAGTTGCTTGACATTTGGATTTTGGTTCACTTTACAGGATGATATTCTCAATTTTGACGCCGCTGAATGTGCTCAATTATTACTTATGGTAAAACCGTATTATCGAGAATTAGTTTGCATACTTCTCAGAAAGTCAATGCTTCCTTTAGTAGATGATACCAGTTGGACAATAGAAGACAAGGAAGTATTCCGTTGCTACAGACAGGATATTTCAGACACCTTCATGTATTGCTACAATGTCTTAAATTTGGAGATGCTGGATATATTAACAACCAAATTGAATGAGATTCTCAACAAAGATAACAGAAATCAATTCTCGCAACCCCCAAAATGGAATGAAATTGAAACATGCCTGCATGCATTTTGTGCCATTGCTGAAAGTATAGAAATGGAGAATTTGTATTTGCCAAAATTAATCTTAACCATAAAAGATATTCCTTTCAAAGATTTACATGTTAGAGTTTTGATGACAGCTTTGGAAACCGTTGGTGCTTATTCAGAGTGGTTAACAGACCATCCAGATTTGTTGGAAAATGTTTTTCCCTTGGTAATTGCAGGCCTGACAGATCCAGACGTTGCTACTAGTGCCACAATGGCATTGAAGGACATCACTCAGACTTGTCATAAGTTTTTGTTACCATATGCCGATCACATTTTAATAGCGTCTCAGGTAAGTTTTCCCAAAGCTGTGAATGGAGATAAAATTTTAAACTATTAATACACTGCCGAGCATAAAATTAGGGTCACCACATAATTTGCAATTATTTTTGAAATTTTTAGTTTTTGCGAATTTTTTTTTGGGTGTACAGTTTACTAACTTTATGTGATAACTTTATCGTAGTTGCTTGAATTAAAAAACGTTCTTGTTGTTTTGTCCCAAGTTTATTAAAGATAATACAAATGAAAACTTTAATTTGATTTTTTCTCTAGTCGAATCAAAAGAAATTTTAGGAACTTCAGTAGCGAGTATTTCCTCATCTGGCATTGATAACAGCTTGCAAACGACGAGGCATGCTTTGGATCAGATTTTGGATGACCTCCTGGGGAAGATTTTCCCATTCCTGCATCAGTATGTTGCAAAGCTCTCTAGAGTTTCTAGGGGCCGGTACATGTCGCCGTAAATGTCTTCCCATCTCATCCCAAACATGCTCGATGAGATTCAAATCTGGGCTTCGAGCAGGCCAAACAAATCTCACGATTTGAACTTCGTCAAGATAAGCATTAACAAACTGAGCAGTGTGGGGCCGTGCATTATCATGCATAAAGGTTGCGCCTTCTCCAAGAAAACCCATGAACGGTACAACATGGTCTTCTAGAACCTGTGTGAGGTACCTATGTGCATTTAAAGTCCCATTCTGGATAAAGGCTAACTCCGTGCGAGCATGGAACGAAATCCCTCTCCATGCCATAAGTGAGCCTCCGCCAAATGGAAGTCACTCTGCGATACATGCTCCAGCATATCTCTCGCCTTGTCGACGCCACACTCTAACACGTCTGTCTGAGCCCGTAAGGCAAAAACGGGATTCATCGGAGAACAATACCTGACTCCAATCCTCTATTGTCCAAGCCAAGTGTTCTCGTGCAAAATTTAATCTTGCGATTCTGTGTTCACGGGAAAGCGGCGGTCCAGTAGCCCTGGTTCGAGAAGATAATCCAGCAGCATGAAGTCGCCTCCTAACTGTCCACTCACTTATGTTTACATTTCTGACTTCTTGCAGATGATTTCGAAGGGAAACTGCCGTATCTGTTCGGTTTCTCAATGCACTAGAAACGATAAAGCGGTCGTCTCTAGCTGTTGTACTCCTTCCTCTTCCCGAACCAGGTCTTCGGGTAAGAAGACCAGTCTCTTGGTACCGTTGGCATATTCGTTGCACACTGGAAAGGCTTACATCAAAGTTTCTTGCAGTTTCGCGCTGACCGCGACCATCTTCTATAGCCGCCACAATTCGTGCCACAATTACTGGATTTTTGGCCATTTTGCTTGAAAATAGCATCAATAGTAACCAAGCAATTTGCAATTGAGAGATACCATGCATGGAATACACAAATATGGTGATAATGGTTTTGAGGAATTTCGGCGAGGCACCTTTTTTTTATCAAACTTTAAACAAAACAACAACAACTTTTTTTTATTCAAACAACTACGATAAAATCATCACATAGAGTAGTAAACTATGCTACACCCACAAAAAAATCTCAAAAACTTAAAATTTCAAAAATAATTGTGAATTATTGGGTGACCCTAATTTTATGCTCGGCAGTGTATATAGTCCTGATAAAGCAATTGCCTGATCTTTGATCCTTTGACGAGACAAATCAGCCATATTAATATAAGAAATAATTTGGTGACTGGAGTAAAATAATTATGTATTATTATGTGCTACCGAGCCGAGAAAAAAATTATTATAGTATATTAAATTTTAACAAATCATTTTATACCGAAGAAGGCACTGTGTGTCAAAACATATGTTGTGATAATAAAATAATTTGCAAAAATTTGATGAAGTCGTTTCATAAAAAATTATATCTACACAAAAAACACGTCTCAAGATTGAATAACAATATTTATTTCGATGAATGAAGTATTACAAATTATTAAACAATTAATAGTTAAAATATCTTAAGATTCTTCTGATCCAGCAGTGTCCTCTGGAAGTGTCAAATTCACCGGTTCTCGAACAAGAGACAATAATCTATCCAATTTCATGCATTGCAAAGTCCATTGATCTAAATGTTGTTGTTTTTTCGGAGCTTTGCAGGGAATTCTTAAGTTTGGAGATAATTTCAATGTGGTCACACATCCTTTATCATCTCCCACAATTATAATAGGCAATTTAGGGTTAAATGACAGTCTAGTCAATTTATTCCGCCTTTTTGAGACCACTGCTTGCACACATATTGGTTTATATTTGTTAACATTCAAGTCAAATACATAGACTTTACCTTCGCTAGTGACTGCAGCAAAGACTGTCGAAGAATACGGCGCCCATTTTGCATCCCCTACTCGATCTCCTAAGTCAAAAACAAAAAGTGGTTCTAAACGATTGTCTTCCCAAATTTTTATTCGCCAGTCGCTGCTGCAGGAAATAAATATGTCAGAATTGTATTTGTTAAAATCTATTTTATTTATTGGAAGTAAGTGGGCATTGTATGTCAACAAACACATGGAACTGTAGGCTGTACTGCATTTATATATTTGACCTTCTTCGGTGCCAACTAAATAAATTATAGGATTTTTTGGATGCAGCCTAACGCAAGAAGCACAACTTTTAACTTTAAGATGAGTACCATCAGGACCAAGAACTGGATCTTTGCTCAAAAACAGTGTCAGAATGGTAGTTACAGCTAATTCATTCTGCATTAAAACCCAATTATTAATATTACCATCAGAACCTATTGAAACAAAATTTAACTCGCCATCAGGAAGGTCTGGGGCCCACTTTATTTCCCAAACTATGCCATTGTGCTTATTTGTTACATTATCGCTTCTAAATGCAGGTGTTTTACAAGTTGTTTGAACATTATAAACTTGAACGCTTCCATCATAGAGCCCTATCACTACCATATATGGATATTTCGGATGAGTATCGCTGCACATTACTCCAGAATCTGTCAGACAAATATAGTCAGGAAATGAAGGATTTTTTAAGGTAAACAAGCAAACAGCTCCTTCAGGTGTTGGTTTTAAAAAGTCGAAGAACCCAAAAGAAACTTGAAACAAGTCATAGTAAAAAGGGTTCCATTCAAGGTCTGTAATTGTGTTCTTTTTCGTTTTGTCATAAGTAAATTTCCATAAAGGCAATAAAGTACCTTCTCCATCTCTGAATTCATCTGCAGGATCATCCCAATATCTATAATCCTTAGCAATATCATCATAACTGTTTTGATTAATCATCCTTTCCAAGACTTTCCAACATTCTAATACTCTTCCTTGCACAGCTTCACTAAGTTGAGCTCTACCTTGAATTTTTTTAGTTGCTTGATGTTTGGACACTGGAGCTTTTTCCTTTTCTTTCCGTTCTCTTTCTAATTCTTTTTCCAACTGTTGCGCTTCAAAATCTTGTTGGTAAGCATCATAAATTACCCATTGAAGTACATTTGCCGAAAATGTTGCCATTGGAGGAGGTACAGTTTGAGTTTCCTGTGCTCTTACTGGATTATTATAAGTTAATGCTGCTCTTTCGCAAAAATTAAACTGGTTTGTTAATTTTCTGGGTTTTCCTCCCTTTTGGGGCGTTTTAGCAGTTTCTACTTTGGCTTCAGGTTCACATTCCCCTTCAGCCTCGCCTTCAGCTTCTTCTTCAACTTTGTCATGTTTTTCATCTTCAGCTTCTTCATCTTTTGCTTCACCTTCCCCTTCTTCACCGGCTTCACTATCGGCTTCCGTGGGCTCACTAACTTTTAGAACGATCTCTTCTCCCAGTGATGACTCTGCTGATCCTTCATATGTTTGTGGATCAATTCCTTGCTCTATCAATTGAGCGTGTGCTTCTTCCGAATCCTTATGCAAAGCCGTACCTTGGCTCTCGAACACTACTATATTCACGGGAGGAGCTATCGGCAAAAACTCGCCAGTTCCATAATTAAATTCCACCAGACTATCAGGAGGTTGAGGATTATTATTATTCAACTGTTTCGAGATAGTTTCTTTAAGCTCGACTTCATTCAATTCTAGCTGATCTTTTGGCTTCACAAGTTGTTTGCCTCTCCTCCATTCTTCTATCTCGTCGCATGTTTCCTGGCTAGCTTTAGGAGGCCTTTTGGCGCCTCCAAGTGACTGCCTTGCATGTTTTGGTGGCATTCTTAATTTACCAAAGTTGTGCTTTTTACACCTTTATATTTGCAGGTCTCAGATACAAATAAATGTGATAATATGTACTATAACAGGATACTGCACAGATCAGCACTTAGGACTTCTATTAGTCCCGATCAAAATTAACAAAAAAACACATTTTATTTCAATTACAATAAATTTTGTTATGTTGAATGTTTGATCAATAATGTTTCTCTATGGTTACCAAAAGATTCGATATAATATTTTCATGGAGTTGTGGAATCGATATTAAGAAGTTATACATATATTTTCCTTTTAGATTTTATTGGTATCTCATCATCCTTGGAAATTTGGCAGGTTGACCCTTGTATAATAATGACATTATATGTCAAATTCCAGACAGTTTTAAGTGTGTTTTACATAATTTCGTAAGTGTCGCGGTATTAAAATTCTCTGGCCTATCTGGCCAATCAAATTTGACATATTTTTTTAATGTATTTTTCAATAGTGCAATATATAAACGGTACCAGAGTATTTAGCATACCTGCAAAATCTATTGACGTCTTTTAAAATTCGGCATTGTCAAATTTATTTCATATTCAAGATGCCCACAATAATTTCACAAAAGAAAATAAGGAAAATAATACAATGTTACGGCTATTTCAAGAAAAACAAAGCAAAGGTTCTTCGGGGGATAATAATTGAAGCCCAACTACCAGATATTTATGGTAGGTATAGTTTAAATGTAGATGTAAAGCCATTTCTTACAACCAATATTTTTGTTGGACCAAACCCGAAAAAAAAGTTACCTACTGCAAAAACATATTTATGCTCTTAAGCTTACTGGTATGGTTACGTTGGATTTATTTTATTTCGAATAAATTAAATAATTTTACTACCCAATTTTTTTAAAAATTAATTTAGAAAAATAATTTGGAATTAAATCTACTCAGATATTTTACACATTCTGGCAACTCGGCTTTCTGTTTCATAACCCTGAAATTTAAAAAATATTCTGTCAACAAATGTCATTATTATACGGGGGTCAATCTGCCAAATTCCCAAGGATGATGTGATGCCAATAATATCTGAAAGGAATATACCTAGCCCTTAATAACACAGTTAACTCAAGACACAATAGTTGTATTCCTTTCCTACCTAGGAGGAGCTCCGGAACAGCTTCGGGGCGTTACGCGCTTATTTCTTTCGAAAAGTGTTTGTTGCATATGAAGTGCTCAAGCCCGAACTCAAACAATTTATTGCACGAAAGCCAGCGCATGTGTTCCTTTCAAATTGGGGTCGATTAACACCGGAACGAGTAGCTCTAGTGTTCCAAACTCTTGAAAGGAATACAACTTATACCACCACTTGAATAATATTTGTAGAGCCAACGTCATGCTTTGACATATTATAACATAAATTGTGCAACTAATAAAAAAAGAAAACGAAGGAAACACAAACACACAACTAAAACACAGCAAATAATTTTAAAAAGTTGTGGCTACCTAGGTGAACCTTCAAGCCAGGTTGACAAGGTCCAAGTGTACTGGATCAAGTACTCTTGGACGCTGCGTGCGCCGCATTTGATTGAAGGATACTCAGGGACGTCCCGAAGACTTTTTATTGGGGGGGTGACGTAGGTAAAATCTCCCAACTGGTCTTTCTCAAAAATCCCAACTAGCAGGCGCGTAGCCAGAGAATTCAGATAAGGATTTTTCGCTATTGAAATTAAGAAACATTGCATGACCATAGGGGTGGCAGAAAAAAAAATGCGCCGCAGGCGAAAATTTTGTAGAATTTCAAGGTCAAATGCTTTATATAAAAAGAATAAAATTTTGAGGGTCAAAAAGTCGGTATATGCTAAAACATGGGTTTTGTGAGGTAAATTTCTAGAGTTTTTAGTAATGTCCCAATATGTCCTTCGTGACATCACATTTTATGTAGGAAAATTCGTTGTAAATGAGTCAGTTTGGAGGACGCACGGACCCCTCCCTTTGGGAACGCTACTGGTAAAATCAACATGTTTACTAAAAAAATAAAAGTCAAAAGCATGTATTTTTTTGAGATTGTTAGTATTTGTATTATAATTTTTAGTTTCTAATAATTTCCAGAAGTGGTTTCTAATTATACTTTCTGTAACCCCCAAAACCTTTCCCGTAGTAGTGTTTTTTCAAGCTGTTTTCATATTTTTATCATTTGTTGGAATATTTTTTCATTTTCCCCGTGAATTTTTATGTTTTCAACTGTACCGATTCTCCCAACTTGTACCCGATATCCCAACTATCCCAACTGGTTGAACTGGTTGGCGGACGTCCTCCCCCCATACTTGCGTCCCTGAGGATACTTGTTCGTATCAACTGTTTATCCAAGTCAAGTGGGATAGGTTCTAACATCTAAGTAAGTAGGCTGGCTGCCAACTTGCATGGTCCATGTACTCATCCAAGTGCCCTACTTCGACCAGGCACTTGGACCGTGTCAATCGGGCTTTAACCTGAGGTGCTTACCAAAATTCAGGAGTGAGGAAAAAATAATACAATAGTATGTTTTATTGAAAAAAATGTTGTGTACCAACACCAACTCCTGTCCTAGGGTATGTACAGTTGAATGAAAATTACATGCCATGTTTTCCTTTTTTTTTTTAAATTGTGTTTTGTGATTTTTTTGGTTTTTTAATTGCAAATATTTAGTTCCTGAGGATCAGAAATAGGTACATACTTATTACCCATAAGGTTAATAATTATTGTTTTGTCCAGTCCATGTCTAGTCAGTTTGAGCAAAACTAAAATTACAATATGTACCTTTTTTTGGTTGCCTTGAAAAATATTTTAAATAGATGGATGGATTTTTTTTTGTCTCCTTCATATAATTTCTACATTGGATACATACTTCATCTCTTCACCTTCCTGAAGCGGAAACAATAAAAGTTTCATGAAGTTTGAAAGGTTCTTGCTTTATAAAATGCTGGAATAATAAATTTACAAAATTCAAAAATTTTTCTTCCATGTAAAAATCGAAACTATTTCAGTTGGTGCTCCAAAGTGGCTCTTTAAAATTAGCAGAATGTACAAGACTGATGTACAGCGTGGGTAAAGTTTTAAGTATTATGCCAGTTGGAAGGATAATGGATTTCCTCAATGTCACTCTGGCTCCCACTTTTGAAGACTTTCGAAAATTGTTACGTGAAAAACCTGTAAGTGATGTTGTAGAAAAGCTTGGTATAGACTAAAAGTTTTTCTTTGCAGAGCCCCAGTGTTGCCATGTCTCTAATGTCAAGATTGAAAGTTTTATCATCATTGTTTAGTTCACTTTATGTCCAAGTGGAGGAGAATGTGGAAGAGAATGTTGAGCAGCCAGTTTATTTGATAATGGAAAATACCATGTCCTATTACAGCGAAATTGCCGATATTTATAACACCAATCAAGAGGTTATGGTGGTATGTTTTTCAAAATAGAGAACAATCATTAAAATTAAAGGATTGAAAATATTTCTAGGACTTAAGTGTGCTCCTAAAAGCCGTAGTGACAACATTAAAAGATGACTGCAAGCCACTAATAAAAGACATACTCCAAATCGTTGTCACTTCTTACAGAGAAAAACCACAAGTTCACATATTGGTAGTTGCTAAAACTGTAAGCTGTTATAAGTGATAACGAAAATTTTGAACTTCTATACAAATGATTTTTTTTCAGATTGTAATACTATTTGGACGATCTGAAGAGTTTCGGCAGATAAACCAACAGCTTGTGCAGGAAATTTGTAACAGAACACTATTAATTTGTGCTGAATGTAACAACAATAACACACTTTCTGATATAACTGAATTAGTTGAAGGATTCTTTTTGATAATGACAAGTTTTGTTAAAAAAGTCCCTCAGTTGATTTTTAGCAATGCAATTGATACTTCTGCTTTGTTTCAGTGTGGTAAGATTTGCCTTCCAATAAAATTAAAGTCGATACATTTTAATACATATTTTTTTTTAGCTATTTTATGTTTAGTGTTAGTAGAAGCGCAAACAGTTAGAGCAATATCCAGTTTTTTGGCAAATTTCATAACTCAAAGCCGTGAAGTATCTCAAGTGGATGTGGTACAAACATATGGAGAAGGTTTAGTATTACGAATACTTTTAAATTTGGGTAGTTCATCTCCTCGAGCTTGTTTTGACCCCCTGAGTGATATAATTTTAGCATTAAATAAAAAATACTGTGATAATTTGAGTAGATGGTTGAATACTCTTCTGGCTCAGGAAAATTTTCCGTCTTCTAAGATAACCGCTCAACAGAAAGAGACGTTTATAAAAATAGTTTTAAGGTGAGCAAAACAAATATTATATTATCCCCAAAAAAAAAACAATTTTTTTTTTTTTTATATTTCAGAGAAAAGGCAGGCAAAAGAAAATTATGTGATTCCGCCTTGGAGTTTGCTCTTATCTGCAGAGGAATATTAAAACAAGATAAACATTTACCTTGAGCTGCATACTTCAACTATTTAATTTATTAAGTAAAAATAATTGATGTGTACATAGATAATTATTAAAATTTAACAATTGTCCAAACTTAATGTTATTTATTTATTGTTTTGTCTAATACTCCATACTTTTCCATTAATTCTTGTTTTCTTCTCCTCAGCAAGGCTTGTTCGATTTCTTGTTGTGATGGAACTGGTACGTGAGCCACAAATCTTTGTTGTGACCCATCGAGAAGTTGCTGACTTGGATCTTCTAGTATTTCATCTTTCTCTACGTCCTCATCAACTGCATATACACTTACTTCTTGATCCTCTTCATCCGAAGCTTCACCTGCAGCCTTTCTAGCTTCTTTCTTTGCCTTCCATTCTGTTACTGCTTTTTGGACAGCTATTTTTTCAGCTTGCATTTCGAGTGGTATCAAAATACCATCATCATCATCCATATACCCATAATAATCTGCATCAATATCTTTCATTAGCTCTGCCCGGGTCTTTCTAGGAGGAGGAGGTGGTTCTTGTTCAAAAAGCTCTCTTACACCAGGTAGCTCTTTTGCTGCTCCAAAATATTTGTATCCTCTATTTCCTGGTACTTCCTTTCCTTCATGATCCAACATTCGAGGGCCGATTTTCTGATAATCAGGACCACCAAGTTCTTTTAGTTGGTCTTCCCAGTGCCGTTTCTCCCTGAGCAATTTGTTAATTTCGTCGTTCAAATCCCTTATTCTAAATTCACCTAAACCAGCGTTTTGAATCTGAGCGACTTTTTTAGCTATTTCTCTGATAATGTGCATACGCCATTTCTCACATGCATACAAGCTTTTGCAATCCGAGGCTAGATAAGGTCTTCTTCTCTTCGATTTATCAATTTCCCCTGCTTGTGCTGCCCGCCATCTTGCGAGTGTTGTCATCGCCTTTTCTGCGTTTCTTGCCTGAAAAAAATTACAAAAGTTAATGCCTGCTGCTATGTTGCTTATGTGTAATGATTTCGAAAATGAAATAAACTACAATTTTATTTTTTAAAAACTTTACAATAAGGGCTTAAGTTATAGCCAACCCAGGAGTTCTTGAGAAGCGTTCAAGGAGGTAAAGTCTAGTCAGTTCCTGAAAGAAAGGAACCATTAGATCAATGCTATCGAAAATTTACCCCAATAAAATAAGTAGAAATTGAAATATGTAGTTAATAATTAATTAGTGTTTTGCAATTATCTCTGCAATATTGTAATTCCTGGAATTCGATTCGAAACGCTCGCTTGACTCGAAGATACCAACCAAACTATTACCAAGACACATGGGCGTTTAATGTAAGCATAAAGATTTGGAATTATCGTGAATCCAGTCAACAAAAAATGATCACAAACTATTTTTTCTTTGACTCCAAATACCATACCACATGTAATTGATGAAATACAGCAGCAGTGCTTATTGTCTTAATAAATCTAGCTATAAAGATGTGATTGTGATGTAAATGTAAATATTATTTATTATTAATATTCCTTTTGAGTGCAGCATCTGCAATAAATTGAAGTCGTTCCTAGAAATGACGACACTGGAGACTTGTGCACTAGCACAGGAACTAAATCAGGGTTGTAATGTTTGAAACATGTTCAAAACAACAATCTAGAAATATGTTTTTTCTTCTGCTTTTTCATTATTTGTTATAACTATAATTGAACCATCTGGTGGGGCCATTGATAAACAGGAAGAAGAAGAAGAACCATCTGGTGGTATAGAGTATTAAAATATCTCTAAAATACTTGGGGCTCTGGTACACTGAGGGATGTCGAAATAATGACTTTTGGTTGAATCGAGGGGTAAACCGCCAATATATTCCAGTGTCCAAATACGAAAGTTTTCCGGTTATATTTCAGGAACTATTAGTCCTAGAGCTTCCAAGTAATAATTTATTTTTTTTCATAAAATAGGACATGAAAAATTGCTGGAAATAGTTTTCAGGTTTGTAAGTTGACCGCTAGGGGGCGGAACCAACGCTCGAGAACATAATTTGTGATTATCTTCAATCTCTCTACATATCTACTAAAGGTAGGTATCCTAAAAATACGATTATTGAAATCTTCATGAGATTATGAAAAAAAAATTGTTCAGAATGTTTTGCCCTGACTCCTCAAATAAGGGCCGGAATAAAGTTCAAACTTGTTAGGTTCAAAAGTCCTATAACTTTTTTGATTTTTAACCGATTTCAATGATTTGGGTGTCATTTGGAAGAGATTTTCCTGTTTAATAAAATGCATAACTAAAATAACAAAAATTAAATTGTTTTGTTGTCGCTAGGCGCTGTGTCTAAAAGTCGACAATTTCCCATTTTTTGTCGGAAATTTCAAATGTAATGATACTTTTCTTGTTAAATTTAGATGAAAGCAGGATACAAAAAAATGGCATTAGGTGGAAACCGCAAGTCTAAATTTTAATCCTAGTACAAAATATAAAATAAACAAATTTAACACCTACCGTCATATTTGAAAAAAATGTGTTCAATCAAAATTTAAAATATCTCATTAGGCAATCCAATCCATCTGTCAAAACGAAAAATTCAATATGGCGTGGCGGCCAGCAAGTTTTTTGAATATGTGTTTTCATGCATATTTAAATTATTTAGCTTCGAGTTTTGCTTGCAGTTTTGATTTTGATTATTCAATAAAATATTTGTTGACTAGAAACTATTAAGTCGGTCAGAAACTAGACATTTTTTTGTGCTTTTTGATCCATGTGTGGCCGCCACGCCATCTTGAATGTCACGTGGTTTGGATTGCCTAATTGCTAAACTGGAAATATAACCTAACTTTTTTTTCAAATGGCTTTATATAGGCCGTTTTCCCCATGTGCGTGCACATGTTCAATTGGTTAAAGCGATCTTAGCTGGCCATGCATTTCCGACATTTTGTCTATCTTGGCCACCGCGATCCCCCGACTCAACTTATTTGGATTTTTATTGATAGGGCAGACTAAAGAACATCGTGTAGGTACCAAACAACTAAGGCCCACTACGAGGGATAGTAGATGGTAAATGCTATCAGAAGCATATTCATTGCCAAAGTGGAAGCCGCTGCTTATACAGCGTGTCCAAGATAAGGATGGGATAGCATTAGGATCTGGAGAACGGTTGGAGTTGGTCAGGTTAGAAAAAAGCTGCGCAATTTGACGCTCAATAAAATGGTACTCTGACATTTGAAAAATTCCGAACACTTTCGGAGATATCCGGAAAAACCGAAATTTTGCAAAATCTATTTTACTTTTTCCTGAGCTTATTTCAGAAGATATTCCAAAATAAATGTCACTTCATCGTTACCACTTTCCATACTCTACAAGATGACTATAGTTATGTAACCGACATGAGAACCGTTCTAGAACGGTAATTTCCAGTTGCCCACCTATTTTTCAATAATTTGTACGTTTATCCTAATTGCCAAATGAATTGATCGACTGGAAATTACCGTTCTAAAACGGTTCTCATGTCGGTTGGAAGAGCTATTATCAGTTTTAAAATTTGACGTTTTGTCTTTGGATCGCCATCATCAACTTCATTTTTTTAAATACGGAAATCAAGGGCCACATTTAATAATTTGAATATGTCATCTTGTAGAGTAGAAAAAGTTGTTACGATGAAGTGACATTTATTCTGAAACAACTTTTTCCTGATCTAGCCACCATTGTAACTCCAACTGTTCTCCAGATCCTAATGCTATCCCATCTTTATCTTGGACACACTGTATAACTGAATAACTGAACGAAAAGTATGAGATTCCCGAGGAGATTCCTTATTTTTTTTATCCTCTTTTTATCTAAATTTAAAAAAAAAGCATAATATTATTTGAAATGTCTGGAAAAAATGGAAAATTGTTGACTTTTAGACGCAGCGCCCCTTAGCGACGACAAAATTATTTATTTTTATTTTTGTTATACAACTGAAAAGAGCTGACGCATTATGCATTCCCAAAAAACACAAAACAGAACATCAGAATGTGAGACAAAACAGTTATAATAATTAGCTCAATAATTAGTTAGTTTTGCAATATATCATGTTGATTTTTAACAATTATATTTCCTTCATATTCGAGGCAGCATATTTTCTGTCAGTAGTTCTTAGTTACATGCTCTCCTTCATAGAGCTTTGTATTGCCTTGCAATCATATGTATTCATTCCTTTGTATTCTTATGTATTCCATTGTAGTCATATGTATTTCTATGTATTCTTGTATTCTTATGTATTTCTTTGTACTCCATGTATTCAGTGTACAAATTTGGCCACCGGTTTACCCCTCGGGTTGGATATTTCAATGTACTTATTTTTAAAAATATGAAAAATCAACAATTTTGATTGGACCTCACTTGTGATAAGCAATATGTTTTTGAGGTACCTACATGTCTGCGTATTTGGTATTTGTTCGAAAGAACTATGTTTTATGCTGAAACTGAGAAAAGAGTCGAGTAAACCATTTTACTCTTAAGGGAGTACTTGTGTAATACCTTTACATGTATATTGTATCAATACATGAGTAGAGTGCAGCGAAGAATTTGTCTATTAGATTCACCAGTGTATTATTGTTAGCCAATTATGATGATTTGAATTATGCATATTCTGGGAAGAGTTAACTGTCATCATCATCAATTATACCACAACTTAAAGGGCAGCCGAAAAAATCTCAAAGTTAGAATCTACTGTTCACTAACTCTTCTCTGCAGACTGCAATAATCTGAACTACTACAGTACAATGTTAGTATATAAACTAGCCATAATATATATCATGTTCACATTGGACAAAGTTTATTACTAATCTAAAATCATGTTCTCAATGTGAAGAAAGACATTTTTGTTATTATTTGGCTTCACTGAATTTGCCATGATATAGTAAGTAAACCCCTCAAAATTAAATAGTAGAAAGTAGAAATTCAATCAATCAATTTGTCCATAGGAACGAGATTTTTTTTTGTATGTCTGTATTGTATAAGTTTGATAGCTTGTTACACATAGAATAAACTCAGTAGATAATTAGGTAAGTAAAGCATTAAAAAAATGGATCAAAATTGTACCAGCGTGGAATTTTCTTTGCTGCACCGCATGTGGGAAAAACTTTATCCGCAGCGGTGCGGGAAAGTAACATTTTCTAAAATGCAATGCGTGTGAGGTGGGAAAACAGTGAATTCGCGGAGCGCTTGTAGTAAAAAGGTATCGCTTCCCCAAGAGCTAGTAAAGTCTTGAAAAATTATTTAAATCAAAGTTAAGACCCTGCCAATAGTGCCGATGAATGAGTTACTTACCATTTTAAATACTACGAAATGTTAAGAAATCCGTGAATGAAATTAGGGCAGCTTTTATTTGAATTTCGTTTGTTTACGTATCAAGTGAATTGAAGGGGTTATGTTTAGAGGTCGAGAACTATCGGTAGTTATCGATACTTTGGATTATCGAAAATGATCGATAGTATTTCTTGTAATATCGATGGTGTCGATAGTTGCATGTTATGCAACTAGACAAGAAAAGAGAGAGAACGCGTAACACGATATCGGGATGGAAACATAAAGGAAGAGAAGAAATTTTTGTTGTTCCGGTTCCACCAATCGAAATCGCCATACTGTCAGATGTCACTGATGTGTGTGAATTGAAAGTGGAAACGTCATCCATCGATCCAGAATAAAGCATAGTACTCATAACTGCGAAATTCGCACTTTTTCTTCGACAAATTGACGTTTGATGCGTGAATCAAACGTCAAATTGTCGAAGCAATGTCAAAAAAGTGCGAATTTCGCAGTTATGTGTACTAGGCTTTAAACCGGCCAATACGGTCTATTTCTGCAGAAATCACAAACCAGTCAAGCCTAGTACTCATAACTGCGAAATTCGCATTTTTTTGACATTGCGTTGACAATTTGACGTTTCATGCGTGTATCAAACGTCAAATTGTCGAAGCAAAAAATGCG